GCAAGCATTTGGGTGGATGGTTATTTACATCCTACAATCTGTCACACTTTATACCTATAAATGTTCGCCATTGCTCCTTTCCCACTCTTTTTGGGCCTTATGTGACTGACAGTATTCCACTCTTATCCCCCTTTTGGGTGAGGAATTTCCCCCTCCAGTACCCAAGCGAAAATACAATTTGGGACATTGTCCTGACAGGCCATTAGCTAAGCTAAGCCCTGCCTTTTTGACCGCGGGAGCCGCGGCAGTCGCAGACACTTTAACAGGGCCCGAACGGCTGGCAGCCCCAGACGTTCAAACCCGGACCCCGTCCGATTACCCCCCTCCCGCACCGGCTACCTTGCACTCCGTCGCTGCTGCAGCTCTTGATTCTCCCTGTGAGCACCTCGTCGACGTACGGCCGGAACACCACGTACCGGAACGTGGTGCGACTGTGCGAGGCGCCGTCTCCGGGCAGGATGAACGACTCCTCCAGTTTCACAATGTCGTGCAGCGCGATACACAGGCCCACCGAGTACAGGACGCGGTTGGAGAGCTTGCGGTTCAGCTCCTCGGTGATGGCCTGTCGCCTCGGTCAGCGGTTTGTTGAACTACCATGGAGGGATGCGCACCAATGATCTTAAAGTGTTGTGCATAACCGAATCCCACTTGACAGCATCCATCCTCAGTTCAGCTATAGCTATTCCTCACTTCAACCTGCTAAGGAATGATGTTCAGGGTAGAGTGCACAAGCATGGCGTTTGTGCCTATGTTCATGAGGATATTCTAGTGGACTGTGTGGTTTCCCCAATGAGTAATGTTCTTTTCTTTCGTTTAGCAAAGCAGGATGTCTACATCCTAGTAGTGTATAGACCTCCATCATATTCAGACTATGAGAACGAGGCTTTAGCCCATGCATTGGAAGAGTTAGTTTGTGGAAAGGAAGTAATTGTTGTTGGAGATTTTAATCTTCCTAACATTCATTGGAAGTCTAACAAAGAGCTCCCATCCCTCATGGTTCCACCATTAGAATCTATGTTTTTGAATGTCTTTATCGCTCTGGGACTGACCCAATGGGTAGTCGAGCCAACGTTTCCGAGTTCAGGAAATACCCTCGATCTTCTGCTAACCTCCAATGACGACCAAATCGGAAATGTTACGGTCCTCCCTCCACTGCCTTCTTGTGATCATTGTCCGGTTTTGTTTGAATTCGTGTTTCAAGGTGACTTTGTTTCTGATTCGTCCCCAGGAGCCTCAAGGTATGATTGGCACAAAGGCAATTATGACAGGCTAAACGACCTAATAGCTATGATTGACTGGGATTTCGAATTTGATTATCTTAGTGTCTCCACTGCTGTCGACAAGTTCACTGAGACCCTGACCTCCCTGGTTGCTCAGTGTATTCCCCTGAAGACTGCTCGCAAGGATAAGCCACCATGGAGAACCAGGCCTCCGAGAGGACTGTTGCGTCGTAGACAGGAGGCATGGGAGGGTTATAAAAGAGCCAGATTACATTGTGGTCGTAAATCGGTTGTAGCCCTTGAAGCATATTCTGCTTTTGCTGCTGTTAACAAAAGTGTGCATAGTTTCGAGGCAAAATCTCAGGCAGACTATGAACACAGTCTCATTGATAGGTTTAAAGAGAATCCCAAGCTGTTACACTCATATGTGCGCTCAAAAAAGTCTGTTCCGTCCTCCGTGGGTCCCCTGAAGCTTTCAAATGGAAAACTTTGTTCTGATCTCGCAGCCATGAGTGAATGCTTGGCTTCATCATTTGCAGCTGTTTTTTGTCAGAATGTCCCATCTCTTCAAGAACCACATCAGTTGTATGAAGGTCACATTGATATGTTACACCTGTCTATTGACGTGGTGAAATCCGAGCTTTTATCCCTCGATGTCAATGCTGCTATGGGTCCCGATGGTATCCACCCTATGGTGCTCAGGAGATGTAGTGAATCCTTGGCCTATCCGCTCTTTGTGATTTTCTCCAAGTCACTCGAGGAAGGGACAGTTCCTGTGGCTTGGAAGAACTCCACCATTATCCCTATTTTTAAAAAGGGGCATCGTTTCGAGCCACTTAATTATAGACCAGTGAGCCTTACCCCTGTTTGCTGCAAAACCCTGGAACGCATCATTACTAGCCACTTGCGGCTCTATCTAGAGGACAATGACCTTCTTTCTGATCATCAGTTTGGGTTTCGCCAAGGGAGATCCACTGCAGAGCAACTTCTTTTGGCTTACGACGAGATCGCGGACCTAATGGATTCTGGGTATGTTGTGGACTTAGTGTTGTTCGATTACAGTAAGGCTTTTGATATTGTTTGCCACAAAGTCCTGTTAACGAAGCTCCAGTCTCTTGGCATTACCGGTCAGCTCTTAACATGGATAGCATCATTCCTATCTGACAGGGAGATGAGAGTGTCTGTTAGCGGACATCTCAGTGGCCCCAGACCTGTCCACAGTGGTGTGCCTCAGGGTTCGGTCTTGGGACCGCTACTTTTTTTGGTCTATATAAATCACATTGGCTCCAAATTGATATCAAAGTACAAGATATTTGCAGATGACCTCAAGATTTATTCCGGTGTGAAGTATCCTCGCGGACATTGCCCGACTGTGATTCCATCTGTTCAGAATGATATAGACTTGTTGGTCAATACGTCTGTATCATGGGGTCTCAAGATTAACAGAGAGAAATGTGCGGTCCTGCGTTTCTCGAAAGGCTTTAAGGACCTGGTGCCACCTTCATACTCCCTCGAGGGTAGTCCCCTTCCTATCTGTGACTCACACGGTGACCTTGGTGTCCTGGTGGACACAAGGCTTAGATTTCACGAACACATCGGATCTGTTGCACACAAAGCGTCTGGTTTATGTTACAGTTTTCTTAAGTCAACTGTCTGCCGCTCATCTGATTTCATGTTGTTCCTCTTTAAAACTCACATAAGACCACTGATAGAGTATGCTTCATGCGTGTGGAACACTGGTTACAAGGGCGATATGGTTAAACTGGAACGTGTGCTAAGGATGTGGTCTAGACATATAGATGATTTGCAGAATCTGAGTTATGAGGAGCGTCTGCGAAAACTTGATATGTATTCAGTCGCAGGAAGGCTTCTGCGCGCAGACTTAATCCAATATTGGAAAATATTTAATGGTAAAAGTCATATAAAACCTGAGACGTTTTTCTCTCGTCAATTACACGGCTGCACTCGAGGCCATTGTTACAAGATACGCGTGCCACATGTTACACTAGATGTTCGTCGTCGCTCTTTCTCCATCCGATGTATACACATCTGGAACGGCCTCCCAGAAAACGTTGTGACCGCACCTGACTTAACTAGCTTTAAGAGGGCCTTGGCCGATGCGATTCGTGACCAACTGTACCAGCCTGCGGAGTAGTTGATGATGAGCAACTTCGTGTCAAATATTCTTGATTCACATGTATTTTTTCGTATGAGCTATTTATGTGGATGCTATAACTCCAGTTGCTATGTAACCCCTCTATACTCGCGAATTCTTATCTCAACTGGCGCATCCTTTGATCCTGGGTTCCCTTGCCTTGACTATCCTTAAGGCTGTCAGGCTTGGTGAACCCTACCAGGTGAGAATACCAGGTGAGAATACCACGTCATGCAGTTTGGCTAGGATGAACATGATGCCGCTGATGTGAAGACAGGAAGACTGCAGAGGAAAAGGCATACATGAACATAAATCAGTTGGTGACATACCAGGGAAATAAGCTAAAATTAGAGCACTCTATTTATTGCTCCTGCCCCATGTTGAAGAGATACCCCTAAAAGCGTGATCTTTTATCGGCCCTTACGCAGCAAGGCAGTAATTCTCAGACCGGTGGATGGTATCAATAGTAAGAGAATGCGTCAAGGATTAACATGAATTAATTAAAATAACATTAAAATGTTAATTAAGCGTGGAAATTAGTCCCAAACATAAGCTAATTATTGCTCCTACCTCGGCGACGGCGCTCCCCGCAGTCGGCGGAGAAGCTAAAATAAAAGCCACCATCCTCCTCCGTAAGTCAATTTTAGAGCGGCCGAGTGGGACGATGCGGGGCCACCAAACTGAGGTGAGACGTGGCTAGTAATTGCAAACCGCCATAGAAATCAATATCTTAAGACGTACAATATGGGATGATTACTCTGAAGCTGGAGTGAAAGCATGAGTAGATTGCAAGAAACGAAATGCATAGATTGGTTGAATTATGTACAATAGGCACAGCTCAGATGAAGCCATTTCTATGATGTTGACATATGACATAACCCTTCCTCTCCTCACCTATGACCTAAGTGCATTGGCAGTTACCGGCATAGTTTTTGAGCACGAGTGCAATTCGCCATCGGACCGCAATACATGTTGCTAGGCTGCTGCAATTACAACGAACATACGAATACTGCCTTCATTTGTAGACGTTTGTTTTTTAGGCGGTCTTTGACGTGCAAGGGGGCATACCTGTCGACAACTTGAGTTTCTCCGAATTTCAAAAACTCCCAGAATTTCAATTCCTTATGCACTGTTGTAGGTACAGCTATGTTCACAAGTTTTCGTTTCCTCCTGTTCTAAAAAGGATGATATTTGTCGATTTCGTGCGTCGCTGATAGGAGGGTGCGTTTAATGATTAGGCCCAACGCTTTCTGCATCCGCGAGTACCTTCAAAAGGGAACAACAGTTTCCATTTATTACACTATGGGACATGTGACAAAATGACCACTGGAACACGCATGAAACGGAGCTCATATTCCTAAAAATGTCTACAATCACTTCTTTTCTGACACTATTAGCAAATACCATCTCAAGTTAGGTGGTTGACAGACAGTCAATGGAGATCTGGGGAGACTGAGTGATGCCAATTCACCACTTAACTGATAATGAGGGCCGAGGGAAGAGAAACATGCAACATGCACAACTGACAACTTGACAAGTGACAAAACACTACCACTATTGCGCAGTGCACAACCAAATTACAGCAGCCAGCCCAAAAATGCTTTTGGTGGCTAATTGCAAAACAAGTCACTAATAAATGTCTTAGTTGCAGCTGAACACTGCACAATAATCACACTGTTCACACATTGAGTGAGATGCCACAGGTGGTTTGAATCACACTTTGGTTCAACTGCAAATCTGAAGTGTTGTCATGAGGTTCATGCCTCCATGATCACAGCACTTTGGTTGTGGTTGACATAACACTTGTAGTCTGCAGAGTTCCACATAAACTGCAGACACCTCATCTGGTGGTCTTCATGTTGCTCAACTTCTTCAGGAGGCAAATGTCGACCACCCAGCGGAAGCATGGTCCTGCAGAAAAGAAAGGTAATGCATAAGGTACAAACATTATCTGCTGAAACAGCTCCTTCTGTTGGCTGTTATTAAACTTTTAACATAGGTAACATAACAACATGTATTCTATGTATATTACATTTGTTGAAGTAAAATACTGCCGGCTATTTCAAAACCAGAAAATGAAATTATATTGTGGCATAATTCACCTGCTCAGCTATCAGTATCAAATAATAATTAATTTAATATTTGGCATATTCTATATAACACATTCATAGAATATTCTACTTCACGTCACAAGGACTCACAGTCTTTCTGTTGGGTGTTTGATTGACGCATTAACTAAGTTTGTCTTAGGTTTTATTATTGCAAAAAATTCATATTGCATTATTGTATCAAAATACTGCCAGCAATAACAAAACAAGAACATGAAATGCCAATGAGCAAGCCGCCTTTCCTTAAAATGGATTACTTTGAAAGGAATTTTAGTTTCTTTTAAGGAAAAGGAGAAATGATTATCAGGTAATTATCAGAAAACCACTCAACCAGCAAGTGGCTGGGTGGTTTCACAGCAAACATCAAGCCAAAACATATGCTTACATCTATCTAACAATTGAGCCATTTGACTACTACAAGGATATGTGAGCAAAATAAGAATCCAATTATCCAATGTTGACTTCCTTGCAAAGTTTATGCCTTATTTTATGAAAATGTGTCACTAGAATATGATACTTATCATCGAATATTATTTAATTTACGATTTATTTCGATCGGAATGCACATGGAGTCCCGCGCCATTTTCGTCGACGATGAATATGATCGTGTTTCATGAAGAGATAAGGGGTTTCAATGGTCTTTCAAAGCAATAATTTGATGCAAAAATTTGTAGGAAATAATATGAAGCTGGTTCAAATGGCCATCAACCATTTAAAACACCAAAAATACTCACAACTCCGTCCCGACGACCACGCAGCACCCCGCACGCCACACTACTGGCACAATGCCAAAACTGTTGTCACAGCGGAAATGTTTTTTTTCTCGATTGCAATTGTGGAATTATTTATTAAACAGAAGATGATCTTTCCGAAAAACCGACTGATTTCATACACAGATGCATGGAAAATAAAAAAATCCCGGTAAGTTTATTTGTATTGTTTTGTCGATTTTGACATGCTCCTAGTTTGCAGCCATATTTCG